CTGGCAGATTTAACAATGCATCTGTAGTCTTTTACAAATGACTTGAACTAGTAAATGTAACTGTGTATCACCTGTGTAAAAGGTCAACAGGATAATCTGAATTTGTTAGGGGAAGCACACTGACTGACCCCCTACCCTGGCCAGGCACCATAGTTACTAATTGTATGAGTTGTTTTAGGACAGGAGGTCCTAGTAAGGAACACAGAAGGAATAAGCCACCACCAAACAGAAGACTTTGGGAAAGGCCAAAAGGAGACACCACCTCCCAGAATCCTTCTTGCTGGCATCCTCTTGGCTGAACAATGCATGCACCTCTAGAAAGGACTCTGAGTCAGAATGATTGGTCAAAGACAACAGGGAAACTAACCCTATCACCATAAAACCTAAGACTGCAAGCCATGTGGCAGAGCAGTTCTCCTGGGTTCCTTTACCCTACTTCTCTCTGCCCAGGCGCCCCTTTCCAATAAAATCTTTGCTTTGCCAGTATGTGTGTCTCCTTGGACAATTCATTTCCAAGTTTTAGATAAGAGCCCACTTCTGGGCCCTGGAAAGGGTCCCCCCTTCCTGCAACAAATTCATATAATATGGGACGTTTTAGCACTTCAGCACCAGATATAATTTGGAACTGCCTTTGCTTTCTGCCTGAATACAACCAAGCAGGTTATAAACTCTGGGGTGTAAGCGCATTTTTCTGGAGACAACATCTATAACTCTCAAAGATGTTCAAAGGGGTTGGTGATCCCAGAAAACTCAAGGCTCACAGCATTTAAAAAAGCTGTCTTCCCAGAAATAAACCCACACACTAAAGGCCAATTAATCTGTGACAAGGAGCTAAGAATACACAGTGGAGAAAAGAGAGTCTCTTCCATAAGTGGTGCTATGAAAACTGGACAGCTACATGAAAATGAATGAAATTAGAGCATTCTCTTATACCATATGCAGTAATACTCAAAATGGATTAAATCCTAAATGTAAGACCGGATACCATAAAATTCCTAGAGGAAAACACAGGCAGAACACTGTTTGACATACTTCACAGCAGTTTTTTTTTTTGATCCTTCTCCCAAAACAAAGGAAATAAAAAGCAAAAATAAATGAATGGGACCTAATTAAACTGAAAAGCTTTTGCACAAATGGTAGTTAAATGGAAGAAAAACTTTACAAATGATATGACTAAGAAGGGGTTAATATCCAACATATATAAACAGTCCATTCAACTTGACATCAAAAAACCAAACAACCTGATTTTAAAATGGAGCAGAACTGAACAGATATTTTTCCAAAGAAGAAATGCAGATTGCCAGCAAGCACATGAAAATATGCTCAACATTGCTAATCACCAGAGAAATGGAAATTAAAATCACAATGAGATACCATCACAAGACATGTCAGAATGGCTATCGTCAGAAAGAACACAATAACAAACATTGGCGAGGACTAGAGAAAGGAAAATCCTTGTACACAGTTGGTGAACTGATGCAGCCACTATGGAAAACAGTATGGCAGGTTCTCAAAAAACTAAAAATAGAACTACCACGTGCCCCAGCAATTCTGCTCCTGGGTATATATTTAAACAAAACACTAATTCAACAGAAGAATGGATAAAGAAGATGTGATGCAAGTACAATGGAAAACTACTCAGTGGCAAAAAAGAATGAAAATTTGCCATTTCCAATATGGACGATTTGGAGGGCATTATGCTAAGTGAAATAAGTCAGAGAAAGGCAAATACTATATATCACTTACATGTGGAATCTAAATACAACCAGGAAATATAATAAAAAAGCTGACTCACACATACAGAAAACAAACTAGCAGGATAACTGCAGAGAGAGGGAAGGGGGAGGGGCAATATAAAAATATAGGATTAAGAGACACAAACTACTCAGTTTCAAATAAACTACAAGAATATTTTATAAAACAGAGGGAATACAGCAAAGGAGTATAACCTTTAAAAATTGTGAATCACTATTTTGTGCACCAATAATTTATGTAGTGTTACGTATAAACTAGACTTCAATGAAAAATAAATTACTTATCTTAAAAAAAAAAAACCTCTCTTCAACCACGTGGAATTAATCACCCGGAGGTGGCTTCCGGTTCAGCTCACAGCTAATCGCTCCTCCAGGCCGCCCACACTCCCCACGCAGTCCTCCCAGACACGACTTGCAGCAGAGGTCGCTGCGTCGCCATCACCGCGCCCCTGCGCCTCGCCCAGCCCGCTCTCAACGCGCCGGCGCCGACGGAAGGGGCGGGGCAAAGACAGGGCGGGGCCTGGAGGCAGGCGGTCGGCAGGGCCGCGGGGAGGGGGGCGGGGAGGGAGGAGCAGCGCTGACGTACAGGTAACTGCGCCCCTGCCGGGGCAGCTGTGACCCCGGCCCGCGCCCCCTTCTGTTGCTTCATCGCGCGCACGTGGGAAATGCGGGAGCAGCGAGCTCCTCTCCCCCGGCTGCGCTCCCGCCAGGTCTCCGCGTGAGTGTCTCGCGTCCTGCCCCGGCCCGGCCAGCTCGGGACGCCCTGTGGACCCCGGGGGCCAAGGCTCTCCGCTCCTGGGTCTGACTGCTCCTCCTGGCTGCAGACGCAGACTGCAAGCTCGAGGACTCTGGTGTCCAGTTTCCCTTGACCTTGAGAACCTGCGAAGGTGCGCAGCCCGAGGGGATAGGGAGGGAGCGAGGGGAACATGACCTTGTCTCAGCAATTTGTCAGCCTCAGAATCAAGAGATTTTTAGTTGCTATTGACCTAAAAGCAGTTCAGTCAGGTTCTCCATTCGGAGTAGTTAACAGGCTCAGGAACGTGGAGCGATTCCAAGTGTCCCGCGGGTTCAGGACAGAGTCGCCTCTGCATTCCAGTCGTTGCTCTTCTTACAGACTTTGGTTAGTTCACAGATGTTCTATCTCGCCTGAAGATCTCAGTCAAAACCACCTTCAGGCTTCCTGCTGCGATCATCCCTTTATGTCCACGCTGTCGCGCCAAAGAAATCTTTTAAAAAGCACTACTGTCGGATCACTTCCCTACCTAAGATCTTTCTATAACTCTCACGCTCTCTGGATAAGTCCACGCTTTGATACGGAAGGCTCCTGGCGATCTAACCTCTTACCTGTCAACCCAGCCCCACCTTTGCTCTTCATTCTAATGCACCGATTCTTTTGCTGTGCTTTCACTTCACAGTATTTAATCAAGCACTTAACCACGTGCCAGGCACTATTCTGGGCACTTAGGCTTGGGCAGAGGAAAAAAGCACCGGTGAACAGTTTATATTCTACTAGCAGAGTCATTAAAAAACAACAACCAGAAAACCAGTAAATTATATAACATGATAGCAGATAATGCTATGATGGAAGAAAGTAGAACAGGGGAGATTGGGAGGACAAGATACCTGTTAAATGGAGTTGGAATGAGTAGACTTCACTGAGTTAAAAATGAGTTATCCCTGCAGATAACCTGGAATAAGGGTGTAGTAGGGCATCTGGAACAAAGGAGTCTACCCAGAAGTTTGCCTGTTGTGTATGAGGATCTTCAGGAAGGAGCTGAGTAAGCAAGAGTAAGAGAGGCGGGAGATGAGGTCAGAGAGGAAATGGAGGGGCCAGATCACACAGGGCCTATAGGGCAAGGGAGGGAGTTTGCTTTTTCAGTGCTTTTGTAGGATTGTGAGGGAAGGAGAGACATGATACAAATTCCTTTTTAAAAGAGTCACTCTGACTGACTGCTGTATGGAGAACAGACTGTGATAGAGCCTTGGTAGTAACCCTGATGATAGACAGAGGCCTGAATCTGTGGGAACGGTGAAAGGGAAACCAAATGTTTTGGTTTTGGAGATAAGCCAACATGATTTCCCAACATAATGGATCTGAGTCGGGGGAAAGAGTCAAGAGTGACTGGAAACTTTCCTTCTCAGGAACTAGAAGGGTAGAGTTACTATTAACTGAGATGGGGACGGCTGCAGCTAGAGCAGATTTGGGATTGGAGATATATCAGAGTTTGTTTCAGGGCCAATTAACAGTGAAGTCCCTGTTATGTATCCAAATGGATACATCGAATAGGCAGTCAGATACTATGTCAGGATCCCCAAGACCACCTCTGGGTTCACTGATTTCACTGGGGAGACTCAACAGGACTCAGCTATGGGTCATGGCTATGATTTACAACAGCAAAATGATACAACCTGCAAGGTTTAAGATGCCTGGGACAAAGTCGAGAGGAAACCTGGTACAATCTTCCAAGAGGCCTCTCACAGTGGAGCATACAGGACATGTGGCATGACAGCACCTCAATGCCTCAGGAAGCTATTTCCTAGTTAGTGGGTCTCCAGGCCCGTTCTTTCTCTGCTAGCTAATGAATCTATTAAGAAGAAGATGTGAAAGGGGGTAGAATGCAGATCTGTACAATTTGCTCATTCCTAGCTCTGATTTGCTGCAGTTGGAGGTTGAAAGTTTATAGAGACTTACTCTTGGTTTTATGAAGTGATGATCTGGTATCCTTGGCAAAGTCCATTATTGTAAGCTTGTAATAATGTATGTCAGTAGACAGTGTTTCTTGTTCTGAGATTTTTTTTTTCTAAAATCATTAAGGGCGTTCCCTGGTGGCCTAGTGGTTAGGATTCTGGACTTTTCGCTGCTGGGGCTCAGGTTTAGTCCCTGATCGGGGAACTGAGATCCTGCAAGCCGCACGACATAGCCGAAGGGGGGGGGAAGCACTGAGCAGTCAGTACCCAAGCTAATTTGGGGGAGTCAGAAGAGTGGAACCTGTGTTTTCACATGTCCTAGCAGCCAGTTTGACCTTCATGACCGTCCTATGAGGTCAGCACATTAAGTACAGCCAGAAGACTCACCGGGTACAGGATGCATGGCCTTGGTTCACGTGGACCAACATGGCCTTTCGAAGGAGGGAACATAGTATCAGCTGTAACGTGTTGAGGGTGCGTATGGTTTATGTACTAAGAATGCCAAGATAGCACACTTGTGAGGTAAAACTGAACTGTCTGTTTCAGGTAGTATGTGCCATGGCCATGACTAGTGTCAGACTGCCCAGCAGTGTTTTAAGAAAGCCAGATGCCTGGACTGGACTCTGCAGGGCACTGCGAGGGACACCTTCACATAAAGGCTGTGCTTCCTGGAATCGATACTTGTATTTGTCTAGTGCCAATTTAAATGCATCAAATTATAAAACAGTCCTCCATAACATTTTCTCACTGAGACTCCCACGGCTTTTAATATCTCCAGAATTTATTTTCCCATTTTCCATAAGACTCAAAAGTAATATAAGCTCTAAAAAATCCACTAAAAAGACTCTACAAAAAGTGGAAGATGAAGGGGACTCTGATGAAGAGAGGGACCATAATGAGATGAGTGAGCTGGAAGAGGAGCCCGAGGACAACCCCAGTGAGGTCAAAGACTATAAAGACCTGGACAAAGTAGTACAGTCCTTCCGGTATGACGTTATCCTGAAGACGGGCCTAGATGTCGGAAGGAAGTAAGTATGTGCGTTTTCATACAAAATCACTCGTCTTCTTGGTTGTTTTAAAGCAGCGTTACCAATCACATGGCTCATATTACAGTGAAGGGTAACCACAGATTTGAAAGAATCTTGTAGGAACCTGGTCCAATTATTTCATTCTATAGATGAAAAAACTAATTCCCAAAGAAGTCAAATGACTGCCTGCAAATCCCATGTGCCGTATTTCCTTGACTCTAGGACACAGTCAACTGTAAGATGAACCACTGATGTAAAAACAGCTTCTTGAGGAAAAAAGGAATCATCATGTTAGATGTATATAGCAAGCATAGAATGCATCTGGGTTTCATAAATGCTGCATGAGATGGTATCTCTTAGAAGCAGCATAACAAGGTGGTTAAAACTGCAGGCTTTGTATCCAGACTACTGGGGCTTTAATCCTCGCTCTCTGTGACCTTGGACAAGCTACTTATAATCTCTGTGCAGTTCCCTCATCTGTAAAATAAGGGTAATAGAACTGGCTTTAGAAGGTGGTGGCTAGGATTAAATAAGTCAGTCTTTTTTTTTTTCAGTCTGTTTTTCTATAGCATTTATAACAATGTGTGGCACATGGGTTCTCAATATATGTTAACTATGATGATGAAAATACTGTGTGCGTTCATATATATAGTGCATGGAGATATTAAGCGTAACCTTCAAGGTTTCTTTAATCTTATTGTTTCTTTGCTAGACCTATTATATAATAATAGTGATCTTCACTGTTCATCCATTCCTTTAGCAATCATTGTGTGCATACTGCATGCAAAGAAAGAACTGTCGTATGAAAAAGAAATTAAGATTCCTTTGTCTAATTTGTACCTTTATGTCCTAATTTAATGGCATAGTTTAATTTTTTAATACACAAAACTTAAAGACTTATAAAGATGACTCTGAGCCCACAGTCACCCTCATCAGGACTTGAATGTTCTCTAAAATCTGACAGGCTCATTAAGGGCCTCCCTGTCTCTCACAATAGTAGTAGCTAGTACTGTTATTAGGAAAACCTCCAACATCAGTCACCAGGAGTCTGAGTGTTAAGACGAAAGGGCACTCATTTTTGTCTGTATCCTGCCTTGGTCTAGTTGCCCCACTGATTAAATTCAGAGAGATCAGCAGTGGCTGGATTGGCATTTCCCCAGCCTCAGTGCAGATCAGCGGAGGGTTTCTTAACAGCCTCACCATAGGTGTGGTAACTGGTTTCTCTCTCAGAGCACATGAGGGGAAGGTAGCACCCACTCATTTTGACTGTCGTGGATCAAGGAGCTATCACCCACGTGAAGTCCCAGTAGAGCGCTGCTTACCTGCCATCTCGCTCTAGCAGATCTTTGCAGCAGCCGCATCCACTCAGCAGTGCCCTTTGGTCTCCCTGTTTAGATTCATATGGGAGCAGTTGACTTTCACTTTCCCAGTGACCAGAATGGAGATTTTGTGGGGAGGCCAGTCACGTATTTTTCTCAAAATTATATAATTGTTTTGAATATATTTCTATTTTAAAGTGCTTTGACTTTTTTTTTAAGCAAAGTGGAAGATGCATTCTACAAAGGTGAACTCAGGCTGAATGGGGAAAAACTATGGAAGAAAAGCAGAACGGTAAGATATTATGACAACTGAATATTTTTGTGTGTTCTGTACTCAGTTAACGCCTTTCCCAATTTCCCTTGGGGCTCCTTCCTTGGGGCATCAGTGGCTCCTCAGGTATGTCTGTCTTACCACCTCTAAGGTCTCCCTCAGGTCTAGACATATAGCTTCAGTCACACAGACCACTTGCTCTTTGTAGCCATAATGAATTTGAGATGAAGCTTCCTCTTTTTCTTTAAAATTTTAAGACAAGTCACTATCAGAACTGGAAAAAAATCTATTAATTAAACTTCTTAAGTTATTAATGTTAGCCCATCAGGCCAAAAAAAACCGTTTGATCCATGTAGAGGTCTCTCTGGCCTGCTGTAACCTGAGCAGATGTGCGATTCTGTTCAGCTCAGCAGAAGTACCTGCTGGTTACAGTGCTCTTGTGTGCAGGGCAGCCATCAAAAAGAAGGTTCCATATTTCCTTAGCTCTATTGATACTGTTGTTTTATGACAGAATCATTCATAAGTGTTACAAGAAAATGAATTTCTAGTATCTGATGTTATAATAAATGATATATATTCTTATAAAAATGTATTTTTGTAAAAATAAGTTACATATATACATACATCTAGAATTAAAATATTAATACTAGTGTTATTTATCTTTGAGTGGGCATTGTGAGTTATATATTCATGTGTTTTTTTCTTCTGAATTTTTTATGAGTATGTTTCACTTTCATAATTGGGAAAAATAATGATAGTAAAAGTTAACAAGACAGTTTTATTTATTTATTTTTTTTTCCTTAAAAATATTTTATTATGAAACATAGTAAGAGTAATGTCAAACAAGACAGTTTTAAAAAGTATATGGCAGAGACCCTTAAAAAGTGTGGCAGACGCTGACCCTTGAGGCATTGGCAGACGTAATCTAACTCACAGTGTCCAGGGAATAAACGTTCCAGCGGAGTTAGACACACTTTTGAAGGTTGTTATTTTAGCTTCTCTCGTATTTCAAAGCAACCCTGGGATTGGAGAACGTGCGCTGCATCCCATCCCTGGGACATGGGAGGGTGTGAGCCATCAGCGTGGACCTAGGTGGGCCCGGAGGCTGTCTTCAGAGGCCCTGATTCCTGTGCTCAGAGTGGTTCTTGCAGCTGGGTGGACTGAAGGGGGATCCCCAGTGCTTGTCTTGGCCACCAAGTTTCAAGGCCCCTGTCCCACTGAAGGCACCCACCCTGGCAGGTTCAGATTATGGGTGTCAGGCCTTGCTCCGTGAGCTACAGGAAGTCAGGCACTCCAGACAGGCATCTGGACATCAAGTCCTTCTTGTCCCTTAATTGCTTTTTCCTGCATAGCCCAGCCCCCTCTCGCCAGCCGCAGCGTTCCAAAGACAAGACCTGTTGTTGGCGCAGGATGCCTCTGCCAGGGCCTCATTTGCAGACACCACAGATCTATTTTTCTCCCTCTGCTTTGAGATATTGTTAACTACAGTCTAATTGCTGCTTCTTCATTCTGCCTTGGGTGTTCTATTGTCTTGGCTGCCTTCCAGATTTCTCCTGAGGGTCAGCAAAGGAAGGGCCCAGTATTAACACACGGCTGCCTTGTTACTAGGAGGCCTGGTAGCCATAGTAACTGCAGCTAAGGGGAGATTGGAAATGTAGATACTTGGAACAGCCCCTAATCCCAGTCAGTCTTGCTTTGTGTCTGCCATGCCGTCTCCCACAGTTGAAGGGAATGAAGGAAATGAAGAACACCTCCCCTTCCGTGGCCTGCCCCGTGGGGCTTGTGCCCAGCTGCTAAGGATACATACGGGTTGACTTTTCTCTGTATATCCTTTTATACCTTTTACATCTTGTATCATGTGCATTAATGTATTCCTTTATTTAAAAGGAATTTTAATGACTCGGAGTTATGCCTAAAAAGGTAAAGCAGAGTTCCCAAGCCTTGTATTTCTGAACATTCTGATGCCTATATAGGTTGGCCACATGGTCATTTTTTTAAAAAATGAAACCCAGCAGAACTTCAGGAGAATTGACTACCCCCTGCCCCTGCATCTGGCCCAGATGATGCCCTCATACCCACAAAGAGAAGCAGTCATCATGCCTCACTGTGGTGTTAATCTCTCTGCTTCTCAGCCCAGAGGGGAGAAAGTTAATGGTTTAAAATAAGCCCTTTGAGTTTTGGGCTTCCCGAATCCGCCTGCAATGCAGGAGACCCCAGTTTGATTCCTGGGTCGGGTATTCTTGGGCTTCCCTTGTGGCTCAGCTGGTAAAGAATCTGCCTGCAATCCGGGAGACCTGGGTTCAATCCCTGGGTTGGGAAGATCCCCTGGAGAAGCGAAAGGCTACCCACTCCAGTATTCTGGCCTGGAGAAGTCCATGGACTGTATAGTCCATGGGGTTTCGAAGAGTCGGACACGACTGAGTGACTTTCACTTCACTTGTGAGTTTTACATCCAGCTGCCAGGATTGACCAGTGTGGCATCGTGGTGAGCAGGTGTGCGTTTCCATGCTGTTGACTGAGTATTGGGCCTATGGATGTCTTGAGTAGGTCGCTTGCCCTAGTGAAGTACAGATATTCCAACAGCATGAAATTAGGACCGCCTTAGGGAATATTCATTGGAAAATGCAGTAAACATGAGCATTTGGCATGATGGCTTCTTAAACAGAAGCCCCCAAGCAACCTTTTAAACGGGTACCTATGCCCACTTAAGGGTCCATGGCCCACACATGAGGGTCCCTCTCTGTCTTTCTGTCCTGCCTCTTCACCCCTGCAGTGGTGAGTGGTCTGAGATGGCCTCTGGTCACCCTGGATTGTGTTGTGTAGAAGCCACATATTGCACCTGGGTCAGTTTAGCCCCTTCCTGAGTCGCTGGGCAGATCCTCTGGGATACTGAGCTGCCAGGACCCAGTGTCTGTCTTGGGCTGTTTGCACCCTGGCAGCACTAATGTGACTGCCCCCAAGGGCATGTCCTGCACTCGCTCAAGCCAGAGCTCCTATCTGGATAAAAATGGGTTTGACCTCAGCCCTTTTAACCCAGGTCAGCATCCTCTTTTCTGGGGCATTCCATCCTTGTTCGTGGAGTCCTGTCTCTTCTTGATGATGTGTCATCCCTGGGGCTAGCCAGTGCTGGAAAGCAGTTTCTTTACTTCCATTTCTTAAAGAGATACAGCTGTTGTTGCACTGTGATGAATTTCCAACAAATTATGCCCTGTACGCAATGATGTAGCTTATCTGGGTTGAAATCAATGAATGTGTTATACTGAAAATTGTCTTCTCAGTGCCTGTAAGTAATTACTGTGTTCATCTCTCTAAGATTGTTTTTTGCCATTATTACCAAAATAAATGCTTCCGTTCAAGTGCTCCCTTAAGTCATGCAATAAGGGTGAAAACCAAAGCCACAAAGGACCCATCCTCAAGTAGCTAGCTGTCTCAGACTGAAGGAGGGATACTGGTCCACGTTGAGCCACATGGGTTTGAGGCACTAAGATTAGTGACTGTTTCAAAGGAGTACCTGCCCCCGGGGAGTGGTTCTCTAGGGAAAACTCAAACTAGAGACGTTTGCATTGGCCTGCATTTCCCAAAATGACAGCTCTGTTTTCATTTTAATTTTCAGGTGAAAGTGGGAGATACATTGGATCTTCTCATTGGAGAGGATAAAGAAGCAGAAACAGAGACAGTGATGAGGATTGTCCTGAAAAAAGTGCTGGAGGAGAAAACCAGCAGTGAGAAGTACAGGGTGGTGTTACGACGGTGGAAAAAGTTACAATTGCCTAAAAAGAGTATGCTCAAATAAATGGATTGCTTTTCAGTGAGAAAGCTGCTTTCTAGTGGTGCAGGAAGGGGCCAGGTTCAAAAGAAGATGTTTTTATTAAAATAAAGTTCTCCCATCATTTGTAGAAGATGCTGAGCCGTTTTGTGCAAGTCAGGATCTGCATCATGGCTCTTGAAGACGCTTCCCTTGGACTGGATTTCCCTCCCAGGCTTGATTTACTTGCTTTTTGACCTCATGAGCAAGAGTGAGATTTGTAATGAATGAACTAAGCTCAGAGACGGTTTACATGATCAGCCCACTGTTTCTCAGGTTAAAAGCCTCTGTAGGCAGAGTAAAATAAACTGACCTTGTTCTTAGTGTCTTTATCCCCGTCGACCAGCTTCCCTGGGTTCGGGCTTAAGGCAAAACCAAGCTGAGTCCAGGTCTCCTTCCTCTCCTTAGGGCAGCAGCACTGGGAGACCCCCTTTCTCCATTGACCTTTCTCAGGTACCAACGTGTTGGCCTTAGTTCCCTTCAGTTTGTCTCCAGAGGTCTGGATACAAATATTAGTTGGTTCAACTAATTCCAAATGATTTCGTTAACTGTTCAGGTCAAGGGTTTGATAGACAAAGGCAGCCAGAGGCCTTTTGTCTGACACACAAGCACGGCTTATACATTTTTAGAGAGTTGGTTTTTTTAAAAAAAAGAGAGAGAGGGAAATATATAACAGAGACCTTATGTAGCCCACAAAGCCTAAAATATTTACATTGACTCTTTACAGAAAGAATGTAATGACCCTTTCTGGTTTAAGCTGCTGGTGTACTTTTCAGCTGAAAATAGGAAATACACAGATTTTTTTATCAGCAAAGAGAATAAAGCATCAGAGGCCAATTATTTTAATTGTCAAGACCGTGTTGTAAAAGGGACTGAAAAAACAGCAGTCATAGAAAGAACACACATAATACACATCATCTAAGAAAAGGGCATCCACAGAAATAAACTGGTTTGCAGATTCTCAAGAGCAGTTTCCTAGCACTGGAAGGATCGGCTCAAATAGGAGACTTGTTAGACTACGTCATGTAAAAAGACTTTATTGGGGTCCATTTATCTGCCCTCCAGAAATTCTTGAGAATTCAGGTTAACTGACAGAAGGGAAACTTCTATAGCCCAAAGCAGTGTGATGTTTGGGCCCGTGAGTCTGGTAGCCTTATCAGCTCAGATTTCAGAAAACTCAGGAAAAATTGATTTTTATTTGAAAGCTTAAATAAACTCCCAGGAAGAAATAATAAATACTCTGCAGTGTAACAGAAGGAATTTTCCCATTTTACCATTTGTTAATTATGTTTTTACATCAGTAAAAATAATTAATATAATTAATTTCAACATGAGTTAGAGTTTTAATTTAGGAGATTGTAGTAATGACCATGATTCTCTTCACCTCCCCGTGCCTTTCTTCCACTCTTTCCCACCCTCTCTCCCTCCTCTTTTTTTTGTTGGGAGGAGGAGGGTGGAAGTGAAGTAGAAAAGGATAGCTTTATTGCTTTGCCAGACAAACGGGGACCCAGTGGGCTAATGCCCTCTAAACCAAATGTCCCAACTTAGGTACGATAATGACAAGTTTTATAGTAAAACAGTCTCTTCTCTTGATCGCTCTTTGGAAAGTAATAGAAAGCTGAAGATCTCTTGAATGGTGAGGGGCAGCATGACCTAGTGATATGTCAGGGGTCCTGGTTTTTAGGCTCTTGCCTATACCAAATTGGGTTACCTTGGTCATACTCTGGCCTTAACCTCTCTCGAGCTTCAGCTTCCTCACAGGTCAGAAGGGTATTGGCATACTAATTTCCTTACCTTGTCAAGTCTTCTAAAGAGGAAGAAAGTTAAAATGTGTTGTGAGACCGGATGAGCTGATAGTATTAATAGCTAGAAAGCAGCAAGGGCCATTTGAAAGGCTTTTTTCACTCTGTTGGTAATTAAGTCCCCCAACTTAGCTGGTAGGATTTGCCCCATTCCAGGCTTCTCTGTTTTTGCAAATCAAAATTAAGAAAAAAGACGTCTGATGGTAGAGAATGTTGATTTGGTCATAGCAAGTGTCAAAACCTCATCTCTCATAGTTATCTATAGCACAAGGGACCTAGAACATATTTATGAAAGAGCAGAAACAAAAGCAATTCATAAAGATTTATGGAACTCTTGCAGCCCACTCTAAGATAGCTGCTTTATAATGCCAACTTGGCAAGGCCTCCTCAGTGAAAATGTGACCAACATGATGAAAAGATATGGATGTTTCTAATGCAGTGCATCTCAACCCTGTGTGATTCTGCCCCCTGGGGACATCTGGCAATGCCTGGAGATATTTTTGTCTGTCACAACTGAGGGGGTAGGATGGGTATCTAATGGGTAGAGACCAGTGATACTAAACATCCTATAGCATACAGATAGTCTCCAGACCTCAAATGTCAATGGTGCTCAGGCTGAGATATCCTGCTCTAATGAGGTGACAAGAATTTTTGCTCCAATAGATCTGGCTTTCACAGCAATCAGAAAAGAAAAATAAAAGGTACTCCAAATCAGAAGGGAAGAAGTAAAATTGTCACTATATGCAGATGACATGATACTCTATAGAAAACCCTAAGACTTCAAACATACAACTGATAAATGAATTCAACAAGGTAGTAGTGAAGTTAAAACACACCCTCACACCATACACAGAAATAGAATGGTTTAAAGACTTAAATATAAGACATATAAGACACCAGAGAACTCCTAGAAGAGAGTATAGGCAAAACATTCTGACATAAATTGTACCAATGTTTTCTCAATAGAAATAAAAGCAAAAATAAAAGGGGCCTAATCAAACTTATAAGCTTTTGCAAACTTACAAGCAAAGAAATCCATAAAATGAAAAGACAACCTCCAGAATGGGAGACAATATTTGCAAATGATATGACCAACAAGGGCTTAATTCTCAAACAAACAGCTCATACAACTCAATAATAATTTAAAAAAAACATCTAGCCAAAAAATGGGCAGAAGACCTAAACAGGTATTTCTCCAAAGACACAGATGGTCAACTAGCACATGAAAAGATGCTCAAAACTGCTAATTATTCCGTTCAGTTCAGCTCAGTCACTCAGTCGTGTCCGACTCTGCGACCCCATGAATCGCAGCATGCCAGGCCTCCCTGTCCATCACAAGCTCCCGGAGTTTACTCAAACTCATGCCCATCGAGTCGGTGACGCCATCCAACCATCTCATCCTCTGTCGTCCCCTTCTTCTCCTGCCCCCAATCCCTCCCAGCATCACGGTCTTTTCCAATGAGTCAACTCTTCACATGAGGTGGCCAAAGTATTGGACTTTCAGGTTCAGCATCAGTCCTTCCAATGAACACCCAGGACTGATCTCCTTTAGGATGGACTGGTTGGATCTCCTTGCAGTCCAAGGGACTCTCAAGAGTCTTCCCCAACTCCACAGTTCAAAAGCATCAATTTTTCAGTGCTCAGCTTTCTTCACAGTCCAACTCTCACATCCATACATGACCACTGGAAAAACCATAGCCTTGACCAGATGGACCTTTGTTGGCAAAGTAATGTCTCTGCTTTTTAATATGCTATCTAGGTTGGTCATAACTTTCCTTCCAAGGAGTAAGCATCTTTTAATTTCATGGCTGCAGTCACCATCTGTAGTGATTTTGGAGCCCCCAAAAATAAAGTCTGACACTGTTTCCACTGTCTCCCCATCTATTTCCCATGAGGTGATGGGACCAGATGCCATGATCTTAGTTTGTAGTTTTGACTTGCATTTCGCTAATTATTAGAGAAATGCAAATCAAAATTACAATGAGATATCACCTCACACAGGTCAGAACAGCTATCATCAAAAAGACTACAAGTTACAAGTGCTGGAGAGGGTGTGGAGAGATGGAAACCCTCCAACACTGTTGGTGGAAATGTAAATTGGTACAGCTACTATGGAAAACAGTATAGAGGTTCCTTAAAAAACTAGAGTTACCATCTGATCCAGCAATCCCACACTGGGGCATATATCCAGAAAAGACAACTAATTTGAAAAGATACATGGACCCCTAAGTTCAAAGCAGCACTATTTACAATAGCCAATCCATGGAAACAACCCGAGTGCCAATCAACAGATGAACAAATAAAGAGGTGGTATATATATAAAAAGGAGGGAATATTGCCATTTGCAGCAACATGGATGAACTTAGAGATTATCGTACTACATGAAGTAAGAGAAAGACAAATACTATATAATTTATATGTGGAATCTAAGAAATAATACAAATTTACAAAACAGAAACAGACTCACAGATATAGAAAACAAACTTATGGTTACTGAAGTGGGGAATAAATTAAGAGTATGGGATTAACAGATACGCTCTGCTATACATAAAATAAACAACAAGGATTTACTGAATAGCGTGGGAAGTATATTCAGTATCTTGTATAATGGGAAAGAATCTGAAAAAGTGTGTGTATGTGTGTGTGTATATACGCACATATATAGATCCGAATCAGTTTGCTGCATATCAGAAACTAACATAATATTGTAAATCAACTATACTTCAATGTAAAAATAGAACAAAAATTTTAAAATAGGTCTGGCTTTCTCAGCAAAGTCTGAAAATGCTTCTAGTGCATGTTCGCAGTTTTTTTTTAAAGATGAACAATCTAAAATTATGACTATTTGGTAAAGACCCATCTAGCCCTTTTACCAGTAATGGTTAATCCTTTCAAAGAAATAGCTCTCCTCTGGGAAATGTAATGCTAATTGCATTTCTCTGCCAAATAGCATTTACTACTTTTCATGGAAAATTATATAGATGGCTGGGCAATAGTTTCATCATCATTATTTTTCTTCTTTAGCATTTTGGGGATAAAAGTAGACATTTGGGGAGAAATTTTTAGGTCATAGTTTATTTGATCAATAATGATTAGGGGGGTAGAAACTTCCATTTTTCAAGAAACTAAAAAGAAGACAGATTTCCTTCAGGAAGGTGGTACATGTTCTATAAACTTTCTTACAGG